TGGAAATCTAGCCCGAAAGGCTCCGACTGTTGTTTCGGAGGAAGTCCTGGACGGGAGCTCCATTTATAAAGGCGAGCCAGGAAGTTTCCGATATCTTATTTGGAGGAAGTCTTGGGCGGGAGCGCCATTTCGAAGTAGAACCCCGAAAGTTTCGAACTCGTTCGGCATTTCGAGCTTTGATTTCTGACCAGGGATTTCGAAAGTGCGGGTTTCGCTTGAGACCCCCAAAAAACGATCTCGACTGGATTTTGAAACCATCGGTCTCGAATTCGAAAGGGTGGGTCCAGCCGAGACTTGAGCAAAGCAGAGCTTGAACAGAACATTGCACGGGCCCCTCGGCCCAACTTTGTCGTCTCCTCTCTTGTCACGGGCGCAACGCCACTGACAGCGCCGTACCGGGGCCCGTCGCCTAACTGGAGGCGTTGCAGGAATCTCGATCCGCTGATGGTTGCCCTGCGCATTGCGCTGCGCACATGTCACTCGGAAGTGATCTCGCCCGTCTCTCGGCCCTCGGGCACTGCGGCTCGATCTGCAGGAACGATGCGACGACGCCGACGCGCCTCTCCACCCTGAGCTGCGCCGCGGCGGAGGCTGGGACGCCACTGCTGCCTCGGGGGAGGGTTCATTGAGCCCCCCTTCCTCCTCCTCCTCCTCCTCCTCCTCCTCCTCCTCCTCCTCCTCCTCCTCCTCCTCCTCCTCCTCCTCCTCCTCCTCCTCCTCCTCCTCCCCCTCCTCCCCCTCCTCCCTCCCTCCTCCTCCTCCTCCTCCTCCCTCCTCCTCCTCTCCTCCTCCTCCTCCTTCTCCTCCTCCTCCTCTCCTCTCCTCTCCTCCTCCTCCTCCTCCTCCTCCTCCCTCCTCCTCCTCCTCACCCTCACCCTCACCATGGCGGGGGCCATGGCCGCCAAGCGGAGCGCCAGCTCTCCGTCGGGCGGCCCTGCCAGCTGCACCTTCGGCACCAGCGCCTGTGCGCTCGCGCGCACGGCGGCCGCCACCGCCGCGGCCGTGACGTGCGGCGTCGCCCCGGCGCCAGCCGCCTCTTCCCGTGCTGATGGTTCGACGCCTCCAGGCAGCGGCTGTATCGCTGCTGGGTCGCCCACCACGTCGCTCCCCATGCTGGACCGACAGGTCGGCAGACCGTTGCCACTCAAGAGTGCGAGAAATCATCCCCACGCGCGGCACTTCAGCCAAAATGGCTACGGATGATGATGCTGATGGTGATGATGATGATGATGATGATGATGATGATGATGATGATGATGCTGATGGTGATGGTGATGATGGTGGTGATGATGATGTTGATGATGATGATGGTGATGATGATGCTGATGGTGATGCTGCTGGTGGATACTGATGGTGATGATGCTGATGTTGATGATTGTGATGACGATATTGATTTGATGCTGATGATTATGATGATGACGATGAGAATGGTGATGATGATGATGATGATGATGATGATGATGATGATTATGCTGATGATGATGTTGATGATGATGATGATGGTGATGATGATGCTGATGGTGATGCTGCTGGTGGATACTGATGGTGATGATGATGCTGATGTTGATGATTGTGATGACGATATTGATTTGATGCTGATGATTATGATGATGACGATGATAATGGTGATGATGATGATGATGATGATGATGATGATGATGATTTTGATGGTGATGATGGAGGTGATGACGGTGATGATGATAGTGATGATGATGATGATGACGATGATGACGATGACGATGGCGATGGCGATAACGATGACAATGGCGATGACGATTGCGATGATGATGATGATGATGATGGTGGTGGTGATGATGATGAGGATGATGATGGTAATGATGATGTTGTTGAGGATGCTATGCTGATGATGATGGCGATGACGAAGATGATCATGACGATGATGATGATGCTTATGATGATGATGCTGATGATGATGCTGATGATGCTGATGATGATTGTCATGGTGATGATGGAGATGATGATGATGATGATGATGATGATGATGATGGAGATGATGATGCTGCTGCTGATGATGATGATCAGGATGATGGACGTGGTTGTGATGATGCCGATGATGATGATAATGATGATAAAGACGCCGCGATGCTGATGATGATGCGCAGAAAGCAGCCCCCCCGAGCGGCGCTTGAGCCAACATGGCTACGGTCGTTGATGATGATGATGATGATGATGATGATGATGATGATGATGATGGTTGTGGTGGTGGTGGTGGTTATGATGATGATGATGCTGACGGTGTTGTTGTAGATGGTGTTGACGTGACGACGATGACGATGATGACGATGATGGTGACATTGGTGATGAAATGCTTCCGATGATGACGGTGATGATGAGGACGGTTGTGATTATGATTATGATGACGATTACGATGACGATGACTATGATGACACCGACCAGGATGACGATGATAATGATGATGATGTATGCGGTGGTGAGGATGATGGCGATGACGATGGCGATGACGATGATGATTGCTGCT